TTGGTACAGTGAGGCTGAGGATGATGACAACTGCTTTCAAGAGCCTCATGAATGGAATGACAATACTGATATGTCAAGTTTTGAGTTGAGAGTTGGTCAGAAATTCCCATGCAGAGCAAAATTCAAGGATGTGATTAGAGATTGGTCTGTTAGAAAAGGCTATGATTTGAAGTTTCCCAAGAATGAAGCCAAGCTCATCACAGCACAATGCAAAAGTGGGTATGACTGGTCCTTGAGGGCCTCAATTATTAGAGGTTTGTCCACTTTTCAGATCAAGACTTTGAAAGAAAAACACACATGTTCCTACAAGACACAAAACACACAGACAAACTACAGATATCTTGGGAAGAAGATGGTAGATACTCTGAGGGACAATCCTAGTGAGAGTTTGGCAAGTTTGAAAAATAAAATCAAGAGGCATTGTCAGTCTGCATAAGGCATACAGGGCCAAGGTGTATGCCCTTTCTCTATTGAAGGTTGACTTTGGGGAACAGTATAAGAGGCTCTATGACTACTGTTCTACAGTATACAAGAACAATCCTGCTAGTTCTCTAATACTGAAGGTGAACAATGATTTTTCACCTCCAAAGTTCATGAGGATGTATGTTTGCTTAACTGCATTGAGACAAGCATTTTTGACTGGTTGTAGGCCAATTATAGGGCTTGATGGATGTTTTCTGAAGACTCTCCATGGTGGTCAACTACTTTCAGCAATTGGTAGGGATGGCAATGATAATATGCTACCAATTGCAATAGCATATGTTGAAGTTGAGAAGACAGATTCTTGGAGGTGGTTTCTTGAAAGGCTACTGAGAGATATAGATCCATATAGGCAAAAGAAATGGACATTTGGTTCAGATAGACAGAAGGGTTTGATTGAAGCTGTGAGTGAAATTGAGGGGGCAGAACACAGATATTGTTTGAAGCATATGTACAACAATTTTAAACAGAAGTGGGGGGATATAGATTTAAGAAAATGGTTTTGGAAGGCAGCTAGCACTTATAATGTGAAGGAGCATCTGAGGTCCATGAACCAAATTCAAAGGCTTGTTCCTAAGGATGGAAAGGTCACTCCATTTGAATGGCTGAAAGATGTCCCTGAAGAACATTGGGCAAGGTGTTACTTCTCTTCTAATGTTGTTTGTGATGTCATTGTCAATAATATCTCTGAGTCTTTCAACAATTATATTTTGGAAGCCAGGAACATGCCTATTATAGACATGTTTGAATGGAGCAGAAGAAGGCTGATGGCAAGGATCCAAGTGAAGAGAGCAGGAATAGAAAAATACTCAGAGGATATTTGTCCAAACACAGTCAGGAAGATTGAAGAGCAAAGAGAATTCAGTAGGAATTGTTTCCCTACTTGGGCTGGAGAAGACAAGTATGAGGTGGTTCATGGAGTAAACAGCCATATAGTCCAACTGGGATCAAAGAGTTGCACATGTGGCATGTTTCAAGTGGTTGGGTACCCCTGCTGCCATGCACTGGCATGCATCTCCTATCAAAGGTTGGCTCTTTCTGATTATGTGTCTGAGTTCTTGAAGAAGGACATGTATATTAGGATGTATAGCCATATGATCTTCCCAGTTCCAGGCATGAATGAATATGAAGAATCTGGTATGGGCCCAATTCAGCCTCCTGATGCTGTGAAAAAGAGGGGTAGGCCAACAAAAAAAAGAAGAGCTGATGCTAATGACATGAGGTCAATGGCAACAAATAGCAGTAGGAAGGGACTTATCAAAAGATGCACTGTGTGTGGAGCAAATAATCATAATAAGAGAAGGTGCAACAAGAGAGTTGGTACAAATAATCCTGAGCAGGTAAACTTTCAGTTTTCAGTTTTTCATCTAAAAGTTTTCAGTTTTTTGTTATTCAATTTTTAGTTTCAGTTTTTTAGTTCTTTTTTTTTCCTGTGTTTTTGCAGCAACAAAGTGAGCCTTCATCACAGGGGAATTGTGTCAACTGCAATGGCCCGCAAACCTCTACTCAGCAGAGCACAACTTAGGTTGCTTGACTGGCCCTCAAACCTCCATCTGAAGGTGTGTTCTTTTGGCTATGTTGGTGTTCTTTTGACTATTTGGTATGTATTTGAATGTTGGTGGTGATACTGAAACTTGTTAAGACATGGTGGTATTGTTTCTTATGTTGGGAATATTGACATCTTTTGATTTTGGTTGGTGGTGACATGGTGATGTTGTTTTTTATATTGGTGGTGATATGGTGTTAGGGGTTTTGTTTGGTTTTTGGTTGTGACTGAAGTGTTCTGGTGTTGGAGGTGTTTTGAAGTTATTTTGGCTGTTATTCAGACATGGTGGTGGTGTTTGTGTTATGCTGGGAATGTTGGAATATTGTTGATGATATTGGAATGTTGGAATATTGTTGGTTGAAACAAGATGTTTATTGTTTATTTTTTGCTCACATTGTACTGCTTGTGACATGTTATAGTTTTTTGTTCATGAATGCAAGTGTTGAATAATGTGTGTAGGAATTGAGTGCATTTCATTGACAACAAAGACATAAATTGTCAAAATGATTACAATGCATAATTATTTCAGAACAATAACAGCCAAAAGGATTACAACAAGCAAAACAATCAATCCATGGCTAAACTTTTTCTCTATTTTCTCCATCCTTGACTGCATCTCCTTCACCATTGTTGCAACTTCTGCATTTTGGTTTGCTATATTTGCTCCCGTTGATTCAACTTCATCATCATCGTCATAACAAACATCATCTTCAAGGATTTGATTTGGCTTCACCCAATTCACCGAGGTAGGGTTAAGCCAGTTAAAAAAACCACACTTGTTGTATGGACAAGTGCAAAATAACTTGCCGACACTTTCTTTTGTTGGACCCACAACCCTAATTTGAGCAAATGTGTTGCACTTACATTTAGGGTGCCTATACCTTAAATCAAGAGCCTCATTCTTTGTCGTCCTTGATTTTTGAGAAGACATTTTCAACCTGCAATCATATTAAAAGACATATATACTAAGGACTCTTTAAAAAAAGAAAAAAATTGCTGTTGATGGAAAAAAAATCCTGAAAAAAATTGTGCAAAAAAATCCAAGTCTGTGCAAAAAAAATTGCTGGAAAAATTTTGTGCAAAAAATTGCTGAAAAAAAAAAGCTGCAAAAAAAATGCTGCCAAAAAAATGCTGCAAAAAAGATGCGGACCTGTTGGAGAAGATGAAAGAAAAAAAAAAGCATACCAAATAGTTTTAGGAAAAAAAAAATTGTACCTGTTTGGCGCCAAATTCTGGAGCGGATGAAGGGATTCTTGCGCCAAAATGAGGTAATGTGATGGAGGAAATAGGGCTGAGGGTTGCTGCCTATTTAAAGGGGTGTTGAGGGGTACAATGGTACTTTCTCGGACTTCTGAAGTGAAATTGGAAGAAATGGTCGCAGCACAGGCGCGTGAGCCACACTTCTGTCAACTTCAACGATTTTGGGTAATTCGCGCATGCAAAACTACAATACAAGGGGGTTTCATGCAATTTTCAAAATACAGGGGAAAACGCGCAGATTTCGTATAATACAAGGGGGTACTGTCTATTTTACCCTCCACTTTTAGTGTGTGTTTGTGTACTTTTCTTGATTACTGGAATACGTCTCACTTTACAATGGCAGTGGTACAAATAGCTCGACCTTAATAATTGTTGACCACAACTGACATGTCACCAACATCTTACCTGAAACTTCTTATTGAACTAAAAGAGCTACTATATGTATATTTATATGGTTGACATTTATTCTCACTTCCCTAAGGACCCATATAATATGAAGAGAAGAGGTGCTTTTAATTTCCTTGTCGGGTGTTCTAATCTGATTTTTGAGGTTATGCATGCATTGATGATGTTACATGAATTAATTGTCTAAGAAAGGTCAGGTGTCCAAATTACTTCCAGGTCATGCTTTTGAATCATAGGGCAGAGTACACTTTCACCAAGGTAAAACCAAGTCCTGTGGACATTTGATAGTTCTACAATGGTTGAGACTATATGCTTTAATAGTTTTATGATAATTATATGTTTGTACTCTTTTGTAGGGGTTTAAGTCTATCGACATTTGAGTCTTGAAGAAGTTCATTACAGAAACATCAATGAATACGTGTAATGGGAGCTTGTTTTGGTTGTGAGTCCAGCAAACACATGTTCACTTTCATGAGCTGAGGTGTCTGTGTAATAATATTTGTATATTATTCTATTATTGTGGACCATATAATTAGTTGGACCTAATTGAATTAATAGTCAAACTTATTTAAGGTGAATATGTATTTAATGGATTATTAATGTTCTAATATTAAAGAGTTCAATTTGTGATGTTTGACTTGGACAGTAAGTTAGGTTAGAACATGGGGAATGTTAGTAGGATTAGGATTGTAAGTCTTTTCCTCTTATATATACTACATGCCCCTCTCTCCCATCTCATACGAAAATAAAGTTCTCAACATCAAGGGCTTTATGGAAAGACGAGAGACGCGGGAGAGAGAAACGATTCATAGGCAAAAGCAAATCCATCATTGGAGAGTACGAGAAAGATAGATCCATGAGATTACGAGGAAAAGATCGCAGATCAACATCATAGATCAAGAAAACAGGGAAGGACTATAAGCTGGATTCTTGTAAGTTCTATGTGCAATTTAATTTATGCAAAGATCCATGTTCTATGAATTGATAGAATTACATGCGTAGGGTTTATTCAATTCCGCTTAATAGTTATGAGTATGCCCGTTAAATTTCTTACAGTCTGGTCAATATTATCAATCGAGTAGGAGATAGAAAACCAGGTAATGCCATTAGCTACAATGCAGCTTTTCCCTACGTTCTTCCGACCAAATGTAGTTATTCATTGTTTTTCTTTTATGATTTACAGCGTGCAAAAGTAACTACCACAATGCCTATGACTCCTGATTTATTCATGCAATGGAGGAAGAAAAAGATGGAGGAGAGGAAAGCTGGCCTGGCTGCATAGAGGGCTGAGAGAGCTAAGAATGACCGCATGAGGTAAGTAAAACCTTGAGTGAAGAGTTTTAATACTTTTACTTGCAGGGGTTATGCACAAAACATGGTTATTGTGTTTTTTTTTCCCTCAGTGGTTGTGAGCTTTTCTTATCAGACGCTGGCTTGCTTGATGCTGAAGCTTATGATAAATATCAGAGGGAAGAAGAACCAGATGTTGATCAAAAGGTAATCGTTTCTCCATAAACCCATAAAATATTGCCAGTGATTTGATAATTTTCTTTCATCTGAAATAATTTGGTATCAATTTAGTGTAAGGCATGCTTTTATATAAATGCTAATTTTTATATCGAGGCACTTTAGTTTTTCTCTCTATTTTTTGTAACTTTGTTGGATAATAATAAGCCTTTTAGTTTAAGAATTACATGTGACCAAAATGATAGAATGCAATTCTTTTTGCTCTTTTAGAAAAGCTCTAATAGCTTCAGGCTTGATTAAATTTAAGAATATTTTACCATTATTAGAGAGGCTATTATGCCATATTTTTTGCCACTCTTTTTCTGAACTTTTAATTAATATAAGTCTTGTTAAAACTTGAAAAAAATTTAAATGTTAATTTTCTTTATGATTCAGAAGAATCAATGCAATGCAAGTCCTACTGTTTTATAAGAGAAATGCAGAAAAACATGTGCATTGCTGCTTGGGGTTTAGGACATGTGAATAGTATCAGAGTATGGTGGATGTGAAATTTTAGAACGCCAATACGCCATGTTGTCTTAGGCAAAATGCTACTGAAGTGAAAAGATGTATATTTCCTGGTTCTTTTGCCCTTCACAAACTATACTAACCGGCGTGTTTTTGGGTATGACTGGTTTTGTTGAGGATCATACATATAAATGTGAGAAAATCTTATACCACATTTTCCAGCAATTTAAGTTCCTTGGTCTATCTCACGTTGGGTTCAATTAAAGGTGTTAGTAGAAGTCTAAACACTTGTTCTCGTTTTATGCTTGAAAGCTAGAGAGACTTGAGAATAGGCAAGTTAATTCTTGGTCTTAATTGTTTCAGATCTTGTCACGTACAGATATTTTTTTCTTACTTTATTAATTTCTCATCATCATCGTCATTATTATTATTATCATTGTTATTATTATTATTTGAGATTATGAGAGTGATTACAGAATAATGTGTTTCTTTCCTTGAATTGATTGTGTGGATCAAATATCTTTATTGGCTCCTTTTATCACTTTTAATAAGAATCTTAATAATTGGTTGGGCGCAGGTGCAGTCTTATCTTCAATTATGGGGGAACCAAAACTTCCATCTGCTTTTCTTCAAGTACGCTATATCATGTTTTGATTTCCAACCTTCCTTCCCCTCCCAAACTGTGTTCTTCCACCAATAGATTTTCATCTGTTTTATCTTTATTTTGAAGGTGATAGTGTTGGATTTTGGGAGAAAATGGGACAGTTGAGATTAGGAGCCCACCTAAATGAGAGATAATGTGCTCCCCTTCTGCTAAAGACAGTCACTCGCACGACACCAACCGCAGGGCCCTCGACCGCAATACAAGTGCCGCAACTGTTACCAAAATTAGCTGAAAGGGAATGCGAGATTGAGGTAACCGCAGTAAAGGAACAGATCTGGTGTCTAAGACAAGAAGCCCAAGAAGAGGACGTGGTGAGAAAAATTATTGTGTTTAATGTTCAAAGATCATAGTACTTCAATTCTTTCTCTCTCTGTCATTTTTTCAATTCCAGAGGAATGTGAACGTATAGATAAATCAATTTTCGTACTCATCAACTTACACAAAATTTAGTTACTTTTCCCGCTGTGTGCGTGTTTGTTGGATATTTTATGTATGTTTGGAAGCACTTTTGTAATGGACTTTTGACTATAAAAGTTCATTTCGTATATAAAAATATGTTTGGTGTAATTAACAAATTGACTTTTAAAAAAATAACTCCCACAAAAAGTCCATTGAAAAGAAGTTTTTATTAGACACGTCTTGAGAAGTCACTTTTCAAAAAGTCCATCTTGAAGTGGTGATTTTGTCATTGATTAATATTAAGTAATTTCAATTTACTTTGACGATGCGGCCAAATGTCATATATTTATTTCCATATGTAGCGGACAAATGAGTCTCAAACTTTTATTCTTGTGATATTTTATATATTAATATTTAGACATTGAACATTTTATTTCATGACAAAAGGTTCTTCTGGACGACGTTTGGCACATTTGAGTTAAACTTTTTTTTTTTGGAAGGAACAAAGAANATAGAGAGAGAGAGAGAGAGAGAGAGAGAAGGGATCATATGAGAATGATAGATAGTGAAAGAAATAAGAATGACTATTAACCATCGGATCGATCAAATCAATGACTATGATCAAGTCAAACATTAATAATGACAGTCAAACATGAGATGGCATTGTGGTAAATAAGTGGACATATTAAGGTCAAATATATGTATTTGACCATTTAGTAAGGATAAATAGGTCATTTGCCACAATTCCACTTGCATGTGGAACCCACCCCAAACCCACTCACCCGTCACCTCTCTCCCTCCCACACACCACTTTCTCTCTCACACACATAATCAAAACACACACACACACCGACTACCACATACTCTGCACGGTGCACACACACATCACACACTGCACACACACAATCGTCTCACATACACACCCGGACAAGTCCGCCGCCGCAGTCACCAGAGAAGTCGCCACCGCCTCGTCCATCGACATCCACGACCTTCGCCGGACCAATCGACGGCGCCACCGACCTCTGTTGGACCCCAGCTTGACCACTGCACACACCAGGTCTCAACCCAGCCGAAGTCGCAGTCCGTCGCCGCCGTCTTCCCGACCCATCCCGTCGCCGTCTTCTCAGCGGCGGAGAGTATGTACAGTGCACTGAAATTATTTTTTGCTCTTAATAAAAAAAAAAAAAAGTTGCCGGTGAAATCAAGGTGTCCGATGATGGAGGCGTCTGATGTCGGAAATGTGTTCGCCGGACGGTGAAGGTCCTCGGTGGCCGAATGTTGAGGTCATTGACGGCGGCCAAATTGAATGATTAGGAATTGTAGTTTGATTTTTCAGATTTAGAATAGGACTTAGTTTTGTAAATTTGAAAATTGTTAGGGGCATAGATGTTGTTTCAACAATTTTTGTATATTACAATTGAGTTCATGGGTTAATTTGTAAATAATCAAAATATAATTAATATTTTAATATCCTCATTTAAACTTTGGTATTTTGTATTTGTTATGACTAAAAATTAACAATACTTTATATAAAAAAATATAATAATAAAATTAATATTTTTTTATATAATTTGGTTGTCCGGTTATCTAAATAAAAAAATTAATATTGAACTGGCATAATCGAGTTTTAAAATCTAAAAAATAGCAATTGAAACGAGATTTAAAAAATTGAACCAAGATTATCAGCTTGGTCAAAACAATTTGATATTGTGCAATCTAGTAGTCGGTATTGTGCAATTCGTATAATATTAATGTGCAATCGCAATATATAAAATTATATAAAATAATAATAACAATTTTTTTCACATAATTCGGTCGTTTCAGTTATTTCAAGGAAAAAATTATGACACCGGACTAAAATAATCGAACTATATATTGTGCACTCACAGTGCATTCATTTTTTATGATTCGCACTCTAAAAATGAACGGACATAATCGATTTATTCTATCGGTTAATCAAAACACCATAAATAATCAAAATAATTATTTAGTTATATTATAAAAATATATTTAATCTTTTAGCATTATATATATACATATTTTGAAAAGACCTAAAATGTATATGCAAAAAAATATAACAAAATATATTAAATATATTATGTAGATACATTGTTCAGATTTATGATATTGTGGTATTTTGACGGAAGCTATCGACGTTAATTGTGTATTATATAAAGTGCAGCGTGTTGATTAATAAAGTGCAACGTGTTACTTTATAAAGTGTTGTCTATCGATATATAAAGTGCGCTACTTTATATGATCTAGATAAATTATGTGTATGAAAATTAGTTTTAGTAGATATAATTACGCATCAAATTACACTAAATGATTGAAATATTTTTATTTTTTTATTATTTTGTGTTTGCAGAATCATATTTAAAAAAATTATTGTCCTATCACATGTCATTTATATTTAATGTGATTAAATACAATATATTGTGCATTTTTTATTTTTTAATTAATATTCATTTATTAAACTTTTTATAAATTACAGATTTAACATATGTATCAAATTGAAATATAATAAAAGTTCATTAAATTGCAACCAATTGCTTTAAACTTGTCCAATTCTCAAAAAAAATGCTTCATCTCCAAATGTGAATGTGTCATGTATATTCCAGCCGTCTGCTCCGGCAGTCACTCCGGCCGGCGACGTCCGGCGTCGAAGTAAATCCCGGCCGGCGACGCCGAAAACTTTCAGTTTTTTTTTTTTTTAATTTCGCCATTAAAGCTCGAGCTTGAAGGTCGATTTTTCCGGCGCCGCTGCATCTCATTGACGAGGCTGAGTAAAGATGATGAAGTCGACGGTGGCCGATTGCCGGTGTGTCGGAGCTCGGCTATGGAGGATAATGTCAGTTTAGTGCCGGCGATCCGGATCTCCACCATGTCCGGCGGCGGCTGTACATGGTGACGTGTGGCAGCGCCTAGGCCGTGGTGCAGACGCGATTCCGGCGAGATTCGAGGCGGCGGTGAAGCACGCCGGCGAGGGGCGACGTGATGGCTGTCAGTCGCAGCAAGTTGGCGAGAGTAATGGCCACGGTGGAGGTGCTGCCGTCAGAGCGGTGGGCGACGGCGGCGATGGCTGGAATGTGAAGGGACCTGCGCATGCTTGTGTGTATCTGTGTGTTTAATTATTGTGTCTGTAACGTATTTATGTGTGTGTATTTAATGTGTATATGTATGTGTATTTAATGTGTGTGTATCTGTATGTATTTAATGTGTGTGTATTCAATTGTAATCTGTGCGTGTGTACGTGAATTGTGTGTGAGAGAGAGACAGAGAGACAGATTTTGTGGTCTGTGACCAAGTTAGAGAGAGAGAGAGAGAGAGAGACAAATTAGTGGCCGCGTGTCACGTGTGAGTTGGTGTGGGTTGTGCGTTGTAGCTAAATTACTACCTTACCCTTAATGAAAGTATAATTTTGAATTTTTTTAGCCATGAGATAATCCGATCTAATGGCTACGATTTATTCGTATTTCTTTCATTGAGCACCATTCTCGCTGGAGCGCGACCCTATATATATATATATGATTCGATTCAAATGAGAACCAAGTGCTAACGTGAGAACTGTGAGAACCGCTATTTTTCATTGTACGTAATGCTATGATTTATTGGGTTTTATTGCTATTTTAATCAGGATATATTTGATTAAAAATAGCAATACAATTTATAGTATCATTTGTGAAAATAATAGCACCATGTATTATTAAAAATAGCATCATACACAATGAAAAAATAGCATCAAATATGGTTCTCACGGTTCTCATACTAAGATCAGTTTATATATATATACATAGGGTTGGGTACAAGTGAGAAAGGTTCTTAATGAAAGAAATAAGAATACACCGTAGCCATTAGATCGGATTATCTAATGACTAAAAAAAAGCCAAAATTATACCTTCATTAAGGGTAATTTGGACATTTCAAAAATCATCTACATTATTGGGCCCCATCCCCACACAACTTTTCCATCTCAACTCACGTGTCTCTCTCTCCCCCTCTCACTCTCTCTCACATACACACACACAACTTTTGACAGAGGATGCTTGCAGAAGTATCGACCCTTCCGCCGGAAAAAAATCCTGCCACCGCCGGAGTGACGCACCGCAGCCACCAGAGAATCTCTGCCACCACTATCCCTCTCCAATCTCTCCTTCTCTCTCTCTCTCTCTCTCTCTCTCTCTCTCTCTCTCTCTCTCTCTTCTCTCGCACAAACCCAGTCCCGTCACTTCCCTTCTACCGGCCGCCGCGGCTCATCTCGTCTCCGGTGAAGCTGACCCGTCCGATAGCAACCGGCGACCGAGGCGCACAACCCGACACCGACGAACGGAATAACTGGCGATCTCCAGGCGAAGTATGACCTCCAGGCGCAGTCTGACCACCGAGCTCCGCCGCCTCTCGCAGACACCAACCACCGGCCACCACCGTCGAGACCCGCCATCAGGCGCCGCGGGAAGTGGTCGACTCACAGCAGATGAAGAATGAAAGTTGAATAGACATATTTATGAAATTTAGAAGTAAAATTCATTTTCTTTTTTTGGGCATCAAGTTGAGAATTAGATAAACTCAAAGGACTTCATTGCAATTTAAGAATTTTGAATATATATCAATTTACCCTATCGGCTAAATTTGTAATTTATAAAAAATATATACAAAAATTATTTTTTATATTAATTTTTTTTATACATATATGCTTACATTGGTCCTACATTTTTCAAGTGCTGATATTGGAGCCGATGGAAATTGTTCAACCTTTCTCTGACTTTGCATCTTACCAATAGTATTTTTTATATTATTTTTATACATATATTTATTATGTATATTCAACAAAAAAAAATAATATAAATATTACATAAACATATTAACATAATTAATATATTTTTATAATATAAATAATAATTCGTTTGATTATTTAGGTTAATTTGATCAACCAACAAAATAACTAAATTATTTCAGTTCGATTTCAGTTTGAATTTGTACATAATAATAATAATAATAATAATAATAATAATAATAATAATATACTTTTATAATACTAAATAATAATTCACTTCAATTACTTAGGTTAATTTGATTTACAATTATATATACTATAATATGCTTTTCAAAATCACATAATTTATATGTGATCGTATATATGATCATATAAAATACTGCACTTTATGAGCGGTACATTTCCGGTTTCCGGCCATCGTTTCTGTTTCCTTCCTTGTTCTTATTAACTACTCAGTTTACTCCATAGCATTTGGTGATTCTCCGTCATCCGTTTTCTCTTTTCAGTTTTTTTTCCCCAAATTGGGGCTTTCTAGGATTTTCTATGGATCATCGACAACAATCATCGGGAGATGATGATCTTTCTGAACATCTCAAGACCTTTTCTTTATCAGAAAAGGAAGAAGTAGTATTTGACATTGCTCAAGAGGACATCAAAGCTAGTGACGACGAATGTCAAAGAAGTCTCTTTGGCAAGGTAATAGGTGACAGACCAGCAAGTTGGATTGGTATTAGAAGAGCCATGGCCCATATCTGGAAGCTAAGCCAACCAATGGAGGTCAAAGAGCTCAGCCCTAACTACTTTCAGTTCATTTTTCAGAATCGGGATGACATGAAGAAAGTAGCAATAGGTACCAACTGGAGCTTCGAAAACCAGTATATAATCCTTAAAGAATGGATGACCAACATTAACAGTAAGCACCCTTGTTTCAAAGAGCTCAATCTTTGGGTCTAGGTTCAGCATATTCCACTCAATTGGCTTAGTACTGAAGTTGGCCTCAAAATCGGCAAGGCCTTGAAGACTCTCCAGAATGTGGTCATAGCCAATATTGGTAATCATGGGGGTAAGATATTAAGGCTTCTGGTAACCTTAGATGTTGATGAACCTCTACCTAGAGTTGCTAAGATCAGGCTCGGGGATCAAATTGTTAATGTGGGGTTTAAGTATGAGAAGTTAATAAACCTTTGCCACTATTGTGGCAAAATTGGACATCTCGACCGTGGCTGTCTTAAGAAAATGGAGGATGTTAGGAAAAATGTCCTTAAGGAAGGTCAATTCGGTGAATGGATGAGAGCCGCAGATGGTTATAAATGGGCTCCTGTGGGTTTATCTGAATCAAGATCATCACCTCCTCCAGAATCCCCTACAGGTGCTGCACAT